CCCCGCATTGTTTTCGCGGCTCGCCTGAGCAGTGCCTGAGCCACCACCCTCTGAAGTGCCTGAGCCCGCAAGGGGCCCGTCTTCCCGCCTCCCCTCCACAGGAGTCCCCAGAGTGCTTTGGGCACCTTGCAAAGCCTCCCGGGAGGGGGGCGCGGGAAAAGCAGCTGCGTCTGCTCCCAGGTGGCCCCAGCGCTTCGCTAAGCAGAAAATGTCCTTCTTGCCTTCTCCCCCTCCCCCCCCGGCAAGGGAAACGCGTGGAGGGCGACTTCCCCGAGAAACCCACCCAAATACTCGCCCGTCCTTTCACGTGCGCGTTCTCTCCCTCCAACTTTATGCCTCTCCGAAGCAACGAGGAAGCGCTCACCCAAGGGACGCTTCCAGCCTCGCTCACCGGGAAAGGGCAAGAGGGAAGAGAGAGAGAGAGAGAGAGTCCCAGCCGCCCGAAATCAAAGGGCCATCAATCCGCGTCTTGTTCCCCGAGCAGTTTCTTTTCAAAAGAGGCGGCCGGGGTGGGGGAGGCTGAAGAGAAATCCACCCTCCTCCCATTCCGCCTCCAGCTCACATTATCTGTAGGGAGAAGGAAGCCGCAGAACTCGACTTCAGTAGAAAGTCGCTTTTTGTCGAGAAAAGTCACACGAACTCGCCCATGCGCCAGAATACATTCGACGGAGGAACTGGTCGCGAGTTAAACAGCAGCCAAGTAACAAGTAACCCAAACCGGTGTTTAAAGCAAGCTCTCAAGATTCAAAAACCACTTACATGATTTTAAAAAGGCAAAAGGAACAAGATCTGACCAACATTCCTGCCAGGAATGGAAGAACAAGCAGCAAACAAACGAGTTAAAGGGATGGGATGGGATAGCACAGCGCACAAGAAGTGGGATCAGGGGATCAGACTCTCACGGGAAGAACAGCTAACCTCACAGCCGACTGCATCGGGTTTAAGGAAGGGATGGGATGGGTGGGTGGGATGGAAGTGAAAGAGGGAAACCTATTTTAATGAGCGTTGGGAGGAAAAGCCATTCAGCAGCCGCGTTGCTCTTGCTGCTTTGATTCCAGGAAGGCAGCAGCAAAGCCCAGTTCTCGCCTCGCTGGCCATCTACTGTTCAGAGACTTTCGTGGATGCGGTGACAAGGATGCCGGGCAAAGAGGATCATGTTGTCGAGGGAGGAGGACGGTGGCAGCCGTAATCACAGTCCTCCCTGCAGCCCCCGTCCTGGTCCCAGTAAGGAAACCAGGGCCACTGGAGCACCAGCTCCGCTCCATGCCGCTCTCTCCTGCTGCCTCTCCCCCTGCCGCGCGCGCACACACACACACACACACACTGGTTTTCCAGACCAAGGACCCTCCCTGACCGCTCACTGACCTTCCCGTCCGCTGCATGGGGGCTCCGGCGCCCCTCGGCTCCTTCCAGTGATCCCCAGCGCCCAGATACCGGACCGGCTGGTTGGTTGGCTGCCCAACTCCTTATGCCACCGCCGCCGCCGCCTCCTTACTGCGGTTGGAACCCAGGAGCTGGAGGAGGCACCACGCAGGCGCAGCGCTAGGCGGGGCTGCTTCAGGTAACTTCGCCAGCCTGTTGTCCAATACCTCTTGAAAGGAAGCGAGAGGAGAGCCCTTTAAACAATGACAGCAGCGGCGCGACTCCCAAATCCTGGGTTCGATCACGCTCCGGTTGAAATGAAAGGCAAAAGTTGGGCGGCTCGAGAGCAAGAGGCCGCCCGCTCCGCTGCTGCCCTTCTGGCAACTGTACCTGCCGCTTTGGGCAGGGCGATCCAGTGGGGTCAAGGGAACGAAGCGAGTAGGGAGAAACGGCTGGTGGTGTGTGTGAAAAGAGGCCACCGTAATGACTTGGCCTTGGGGGAGAAGGAGAGGAAAGAGGGACTCATTGAAGCCCTTAAGGCTTCTACCAGCATCTGCATGGTTTTGAAGAGGAATTAGAATTTGACAGACAGCTATTCCTCCTTGGAATCCCAGCTCAGTCTAGCCTACCTGACAGGGCTGTTGTGACAACAAACACATATACATTACTGTGAGGTGTTTCAAGATAGGGGAGATAAAAACATGATAAATGAAAGTATCTTGCCCCAATTGCACTCGGGCAATAATGGAATCCCCAGCCTGTCTATATGCATCAATTTCATAGTGGGATTTGGCCTGACTTAACTAAAGCCGCTGTCTTTCATCCTCAGTTCCTCTGCAGAATCGAAGACCTACCTTATAGTGTTTTTGCAAAGGTGACTTTGATAAAGACTAAGGATTGCGAAGAGTTATACTGACAAAGCGCCGGCACAAGGACTGTGAAGCGGTAAGTCAGGATTCCCGTGGCAGTCTGTGTGGTAGAATGGTTAGAGTGTTAGGCTAGGCGTGGGGAGACCCAACAAATTCCATCTCAGGCATGAAGCTCAGTGGGACACCTTGGGCCGTTCTCAGCCTACCCTGTTTGTGTGTTCAGTGCCATCAAGTTGCTTCCAATTTGTGGCAATCCTATGACTTAATTACCTCCAAAGCATCCTATTGAGAGCCAATTTGGTGTAGTGGTTAAGTGCACAGACTCTAATCTGGGAGAACCGGGTTTGATTCCCCACTCCTCCACTTGCACCTGGCTGGCTGTCCTTGGGCAAGCCATGGTTCTGATAAGAGCTGTTCTTGGAAAAAAAGAGCAGTTTCTGCCAGAGCTCTCTCAGCCCCACCTACCTCACAGGGTGTCTGTTGTGGGGAGGGGAAGGGAAAGGAGTTTGTAAACTGCTCTGAGACTCCCTTGGGTAGTGAAGGGCGGGGTATAAATCCAATCTTCTCCTTCTCTTCTATTGTTAACAGTTTTGCTCAGGTCTTGCAAATGAGGGCCCCCTGGCATCCTTGACTGAGTCAATCCATCTCATGTTGGATCTTCCTCTTTTCCTGCTGCCTTCGGCTTCTTTTATCATGATTGTCTTTCCCAGTGAATCTTGTGATGTGACTAAAGTATGATAGCCTTGGTTTAGGCATGTTAGATTCTAGGGAGAACTCAAGCTTGATTTGATGTAGAACCCACTTATTTGACTTTCTGGTGGTCCATAAAACTCCCTTCCAACACCCCATTGCAAATGAATCATCTTTCTTCCTGTTAGCTTTCTTCATTTGCACCTATCCATAGTAATAGGGGGATACTATAGTATGAATTATCTTGATCACCAGCAACACGTCCTTACCCTTAAGAATCTTTTCAGATCCTTCATGGCTGGCCTTCCAAGTCTCAATCTTATTCTCATTTCTCGGTTGCTGTCTCCCTTTTGGTTGATGATCGTGCCAAGGAATAGAAAACCGTGAACAATTTCAATTTCCTTATTTCCAGCCTTAGAATTGTGAGGATAAAATAAGGAAGGTGGGCAAGTACCATATTTACTTCAAAGGAAGATAACCCTTATGACCCCCTTAAAATGTTATACACACATACAATTTTTTTTATTGGACATAACTCTAACATCTGTGTGAATGTAATTAGATTCTCCCCTCTTTAGATGGCATACCTGTGGGGAAAAACTAGTCTTGCCTTTGAGTAAATACTGTATACTACCATGAGCTCCTTGGAGAGAGGGAAGGGTAAAAATATAACAAACTAAATCCACAACCCCAAGAGGATCATGGGAGCCTACTGTGAAGTCTGTCTGGCAGCAACTGCGACAAAGCTAAGGGAATATAATGTCTGAGATCAGATTAGTTTTGACAGACTTTATTTTATTAATTGGCCTATTTAAAAACATTTAGAAAGTTCTGTAATGGCAAACCAATTTACACTAACTGCTTTTCTGCATGGAAGAACTGGACATTATACCATTGTTAGCTTTCAGCAAGCATCTACTAGCACTTGGTGTAAGACATAAGTTTGTAATAGGGAGGTAAAACCATGATCAGGAATTCTGCATAATGTTACACCCCCAAAAATCTTCTGAGGTTTTGTAGTGAGTAGCCCATTGTTGCATAACCCCGTGTTACACTACTGTGTGTAATTGCTTCTTTCCTATTTTTAGGCTGCCAGGCTAAGGATGATTTCCTGGGAGTAAGCCTCATGGAATAACATGGGGCTTACTTTCAAGAAGATCTATTTAGAATAGCTCTGAAAATTGCCTCCTTCTTAACTCATTGATGATTTTTCTGTAATGCCTGTGTAGATGCTTGGGAAGCTCCAGGAAGGAGACACGCCATAAGATACAGGGAAGGTGCTCTGAGAACAACTCCACACACGCACATAGAGCAAGAAATTCCAGGTGGTGGAAATTTAGGAGTAACACAAACAAACGAGTGGTTGGCTACAAATAAGAAACAAAACAAAGGAATAAGAATGTATTACATAATGTGAAGAAAATGAAAGATGCATTCGGATACTTAGTTGCTTGGTAGCTGAACAACAATTTAAACACTAATTAACAGACATTCCTGACATTCCACACTTCATAATCAGCTGTCCAGATACTTAGGTAGAGACAATTCCTTTGAAACCTAGGAGTTGCGCTCTAAGAATAAAGCATTTAATCATAGAATTTAAAACAAGGGCTTGAAGACTATAAAGTCCAGCTCCCTGCAGTCACTGAATACCCTACTTCAGACATTTCCAATAAAAAATGGTCATCCCATTTCCCAACAGACTCCCAGGACAGGAGATTCCTTGTCTAGGTAATGTTCTTTCATTACAGCTGTCCAATCAGTCTTACAGACATTGAGCATTGTTTTGGTGCAACTTGACCTCATGGCTTCATTTTCCAGCTGGCCTCCATCTTCTTCAAAGCAGTAAAGATGCCAGGTATGCCATATAGCATCTTTATTTTTTTCTGTAGTAAGACACACCCTGTTTCTTCAGCCCCAGTTTAGTGGCAAGTGTAGTTGCAGTGTTTTTTTCTGGACCTGATTGTCCTGTCTCATGTTTTATAAGCCTTTACAATACTTTTGCTGATACATGACTAAACTATGAAATTGCTGGCTCCAGGCTGAGTAAAGCTTACAAACCATTTGCTGCTTTCTCCCGAAGTAACTCAAAGGGTTACTAAATGTTTCCCTTACTTGAAAGCCAATTGAGTCTGACTGTAGGAGGTGGTGCTCATCTCTGTCATTTCCAAGACGTTTCTGTGGTCATGTGGCTGGCATGACTAAACACCAAGGCACATGGAACACTGTTACCTTCCTACCAAAGCGGTACCTATTTATCTACTTGCAATTTTATGTTTTCGAACTGCTAGGTTGGCAGGAGCTGGGAGCTCACTCCGTCACGCAGCACTAGAGTTTCGAACTGCCGAACTACAGACCTTCCAGTCTGCAGTTCAGTGTCTTAAACTCTGAGCCACCATGGTCCCTCAAAGGGTTACTACTTTTTGCTAAATGTACCTGAATTTAAGAAAAAAATTCACACAGCCTGCTAACAGAAAAACATTTGTGATCAAATATCAGAGAATATATATGTACCTCTGTGTCATGTATATGTGAATTTTGTGCTTGGTACGCATACTTGAATGGGGGGAACCTATGAACAAGGAGCAGCATGTACTGTATTATTATCTAAAACGCCCCCTTCATGTACTTTTCAGCATTGTTGCAGTCTAGCCCAGGGGTGTCAAACTCATTTGTTATGAGGGCCAGATCTGACATAAATGAGACCTTGTTGGGCTGGGCCATGTGTGTCATAAAATATGCCAGGTAGCGGAGATATAAATTTTATTAAGGACATAGACAAACTTAAAGATTTTGAAACTTTAAATAAAATATGCTTAAAACACTAGCACTCTTGCAATATTTTGTCTATTTAAGAGTCTCTGAAACTGACATCTCTTGCTCTGTATTATTGCATCAAATGTCTGTGCTGTAGCAATCCTGAATATGCTGTTCAGGTGTGTATCTGTAAGCTGCAAACCTACTTTTGATTTATTTATTATTTATTTATTTTATTAATTTATTCATTACAGGAATCTCACACAGTGTTCTGAGCCTAGGACCCAAGGGAAAATATGAAATGGCTGGGCATTGCAGGCCTTTATACATAAGTTGCTTCATGTGCTGGTCAAGAACATGGGAAGGCACCCTGACACAGGCTGAGGGCCATGTGTTTGTCTACAAAACTGTACTCTTCCCCAGAGGAATAACTACAAATTCCTACAAAGGAAATGTGCTGGGTGAACTTGGTCTGGACACACATTCTCAGCCTAATCCATCTTACTGGTTTGTTTTTATTCCTCCTCTAAAATAGTTCACATGGCTTTCTTACTGAGAAAGACTGAGCCATGAGGGCATGAATACAGTGAAAATGGGGAGTGAACCCAGTTGCACCCAGGAGAGCCACAGTATAACAAGCCCAACAAAATACACACACACTGTAGCAAGGCACACAAAAGCTTATACCTTGAACAAAACTGTTGGTTTTAAAGGTGCTTGGTATTTCTCCCGTGCGATTGAGGCAGCCCAGCAAAGCAAGCTCTTCCTTGTTCT